TTTAATCGTATTGCCCTTGTGTTGTCCTAACTGCCCAAATACAGAGTCATTCCTAACTCAATCAGAGCCACTGTCGGACTATCTCAAACCTCGTGGTACCCATTGAATTCAGAAGTGCTAATCATCTTTTATTATAAAGATGTCCCCCAGGTGATTTCCTTTCCACAAAAGAAGGTTTGGGTAACATGAGCTGAGCTGCCATGCAACAACTGTTGATGAATATAACATGATGACTCTCTTAAAGTATAATAACATTCTTAGTTCTCAAGTTTAAAATTAATGTAATCCTGTCTCCTCAAGTAGCAAAAACAAAAGGCATAAATTCTATCCAAGGAAAGAAACGACTATAGCCTTTATTTTTTATTATTTCATTTTCATTAACAAACATTTTTTTTACTATGTGAAAATAAGTAGTGCTGGTACAGACAACAGTGTTCAGCCAAGCCAGAAATCCTGAGGAACAACACACACGTGAAACAACTACACTGTGAAGCAGCTGAACAACTTGAAAAGTCAAAAGGAGATTCGAACTTCAAAATGTGGAGAAAATAGATTTTTGTTCAGCTATGATCTGAAAATTAACTTTTCCAGATGAGTAACACAAAACATCAAAAGTAAATATAAAAGCTGTTCTAAGAACTCAATACTTTCGCTTATTGTTCTCATTGCTAAATGTTTTACTGACCAATTTTAATATGCCTTTTCAAAGCTACCAAAATGTGATGGAGAGAAAATAACCCTTTACAACCATTTGTGAAGATGACATCACAGATATGCTTTGACTTTGACTGAGAGATAGGAGCAGAACTCCAGGTAGAAAAGTAAGGTGAAAATAATAAACTGGACTGTAACAGGAACTTTCTGAAGATATACCCCATTACATTTCAGAAATATGATTCACTTACAAATAGTCTTAATGAAGACTGAAAAAGCAGTTGCTTGCCAGTTACCCACTTCCATGCTTGATATACGTATTAACATTAAATGCATTGTAACTTTAGGAGTTGCACTTGAACACTCATGAACATTTTCATTTACAGTTGGTGTTTATGTTAGCAAACATGCAAGCATTTCCTTGTCTTTCCTGTTAAAATACTTTTAATGGGGCCATTTTTGTGGGTTTTCCGATTGTACATTCATACACCAATAATTTACAAGGAAAAAAACACTTGTAAAAAGTGACCTGTTTTCACTTTAAGAGAAAATAACCCCAAAATGGAGATTGGCCCTTCATCATAACTTACCTGTGGGGCATTTTGGAGACTGTTGTCTGGATAGATAGTAAATTCCACTGAGCAAGAGTCTTTCATTATTCAGTGAAGCACGACACAGACAGCAGATGAGCCCATTAAAATTCTCCATGCAATTCTGACAAGCTACCGAGACCTTGTATGGCCTTTGAGAGTGGCCTTCACTTCATAGCAAATTCTATTTTGCTTTGTGAATCTTGCTATAAAAAACTTTTGATAAAAGACAACCTTTTATGGTTCCTCAAAAAGAATATGCCATTTACATCATGCAAGGTACTAAACAGCTCACCTTAAAACAATAAGCTGCATCCAATACCTGCTTGAACTTTACCATAACAAAGAAATGTGCTCTCTTCATTAATGTTAGAATATTTAAATTACAGAAATCTGCTGTATGCAGGTTACACCAATGTTTCAAGAAATTCACCAAACCTAAGAAATGCGGTTTTGCTTAAACATCATGAAGACACACAATCTTTTAACTGTACTGTTTAAACAATTGGTCTAACCTGAAGGACACACTTGGGCATTCAACAGACTTGGGCAATTTCAATACAGTAAAGTGTTTTCAATACAGCTAAGTGTTCGTACTTCCCATTAAAATACTCTATTCTGTAAGTTTCTCAGAATTGTAACTTTTTTTGTAAAGTGCTTTCAATAGCCACTTTTAAAGGCACTATATAAAATAAATGTTGTTGTTTTATTGATAATTGGCACTATCTCAATGTGTAAACAACTGTCTCTTATCTGATCATCTCACCTGAGGCTGTCATAATGGCCAAAGATCTAAGTGATCAAGTGGTACCCATTATTAACATACACTAAAATAATTATTAATCATTAAATCACATTTAATAATAATAGTAATAATAATATAATCATTCCCAGTGAAGTCAATAAGCCAGCTGTTTAAGTAAACAGGTGTACCGATACACACGCTTAAAGTATGTATATAAGTTTTACTTTATTTTAACACATTAACTAGAAAGTAGTAAAGAAAGTGGAACTGGTGTTTTTATTTTTATTCTTCATTCTTTGTGTCATTTAAAAAAAGCAGTTAATTTTGTCCTAACAACAAAAAATGTTAACTGAATAAAAAGCTATATACATCCTCCCTTAATTTATAAAAATCTCATATCTACAGATATATTACCTTTAGATCCTGTGCTAGGTTTCACAGCCATTCTGCCCACAAGACATTCCTTTAGCATGGATTCGTAATTAACCCAGCGGTGCACCTAGAACAAAATTAAAACATGTGTTACACATACACAGAGCACTATGAGGAATACTACAGTTATAAGGGCAACACCTAAAGGAACACAAAATACGTAGGTCTAAAATCAAGTGTGAAATCAGAAATCTTCTCTCCTATGCTTAATAAATTATTGAGAGCCGTATGAATGAATCAGACTTTTCATGTGAATGTTTACAATATCAACCAAACAAGGAATTGTGCTAAAATGGAAGGCAGCCTGTTGCCACTGTAAAGATTCAGTACTGGTAGGGTGCTTTCATGAAGCTCATGTAGACCTGGGAGCAATGCTGTGCATAGCTCGTTAAATGACACCGATTACTTACAACTGTAAGGAGCTGTGACATACAGTGGAAAAAAAAGGCAGCACCCATAAATCACAAGCCAAGCGTGCGCTCTCCTGCCAGCATGAGGAGAATCTGCTTGTGCAGGTCTGATCGGGTGACGCACCTGATCGAACAGGTCTGTGCCATCTGCTCCCGCTGCCCTCATCAGCTCCTGCTCTCCCCCCGGGTGGTACTCCATGTAGGCACTCACGTTGTACACCAGGCCTGCAACAGTGAAGACTTCTTCAGCATGTTAATCAACCGACACAAACTCACTTACTCAAAGACATAACCGAGGGAGCTAATGAATGACACCTCTAGAGAGCTGTGATGAATGAAATCATCTAATTATTATGAAATTATGAAATTCATGAGTGGAAATGTTCAAAACACTGTTGGCTTTTGACCAACATATTCTTCAACATTCATTCCGTGGGATCAATGCTCTCAATGTCCTTTTCTGAAAATAAACCACACATATTAAGTTCTTATAAATCATAAACATTAACGGATTCAATACTCATTCTCTTCTTAGAAATGAGAAAAGAGTAAAGAGGTTTTTCTTCTCTCAGTTCAGCACTACCGCTATTAAAGTGAAAATCTGCCATCTGCTGTTGAGACGGGAAATTGCAGGGATTCATTCAGGTGGCTTGCACACATCTGTTAATGGTGAGCACCATCACAAAGTGCTGGACAAGACATCAGTGTGCTGCTTTCCACCTCAAAGATGAAATAACATTTAGTCATGGGAAATTATTGTTCACAAATTGTTTTGAAAAACTCGAATGGCAGAATTCAACTTATTTCCTTAATTAGAAGTGGTTCACACGCAGGCCTGCACGAGTGTATTTCCGCTTATAATAATAATTAATAATTGCTTACACTTATATAGCGCTTTCTGGACACTCCACTCAAAGTGCTTTACAGGTAATGGGGACTCCCCTCCACCACCACCAATGTGCAGCATCCTCCTGGATGATGTGACGGCAGCCATAGTGCGCCAGAACACTCACCACACACCAGCTATCAGTGGGGAGGAGAGCAGAGTAATGAAGCCAATTCATAGATGGGGATTATTAGGAGGCCATGATTGATAAGGGCCAATGGGAAATTTGGCCAGGACACCTACCCTACTTAAGTACCTACAAATACTTTATTTCTATTATGACTGTAGCTCCCTTTTAAAGGCAGGGATAAATTGCTGCCTGAATAAAAACGTGCTCTCTTGTGTTCACTTTAATAAATGTAGCTTTTAAAGAAGAAGATTAATTGCTGTTTGTACAAAACTTGCATCAGGACAGTACATGAGGCAGTGGGTTTTAAAATACAAACACAGCAAGGTCTCTCCTCACAGGCCCTGTAACAGAACAACATGAACCTTTGTGCTGACACATTTGTGCTCTGCATACAACTGTATTAATAACTAACAAAATTCTTAGAATCCTGGGGGTATTCTGCATTTTTTGAGAAAATTCAAGAGAATCAAATATTCAAATGTTAAATTATACTGTATATGAAAACATAGTTGTAGAAATCGTGCATACTGTAGGTACAGGACTGTCTTCCCTGGAAATACAAATGAAGTAGTTTGAAAGCATTCCCATGCATTGACTGCATTTGCATGTGTGCAAAATTCATCAAGTTGCTTGCATGCTGGAACTGGTAACTAAAATCAAACACTCAAATAAAACTAATCCAAAAATCTAACTGAATCAGGATGAATGATCCATTTTTAAAGCCGTCTTCATACATAACAGAAACAGCCTCAGTGTTCCCCCCTGCAAATGAGCACACACCCATTGTGCAAGCTTCAAATCAATACATTTTAAAAAGCTGTCAGCCACCTCGTATGCAGATCCAGCAGTCATCCCTTTTGTTGTGAGATGCCAGCTCCTCCTCTGTCACATCAATTAACTTCCCTCGGAGGCCTGTTAGGTCTTTTCCACTTTTTGCTAGGCGAATCCAGTCCATTAAACTCCGACCGGGCTTCAGAGGAACCTTCCAGACAGACAAGAATTATTTAATACAAAACAATTAAAATGCACAGGAGTGTTTTAAAGAATGTTCCAATCCATTTCTCATTCACTCCATTCATCCATTTCTAATGGTTTTATCCAATACAGGGTTGAGGGGGCAGCCGGAGCCTATCCCAGCAAGCAACAGGGATCCCGGCGCGAGGCAGGATACACTCTGGAAGGGACGCCAGTCTATCACAGGGGAGTTACACAGACACACACACTCACACCATGGCCAATTTTCCTAGAAGACAATTAAGCTACCACTATCTCTGTCAACCTTGGGAGCACCAAGAGGAAATCCACACGAACACGGGGAGAGTATACAACCCCCTTGCAAATAACACCCCAGGAACTGAACCCAGGGATCCACTGGGTTCACAATAAGACAGCAATGCTAACCATGCTGCTAATATTCCTAATAATGTTATTTGTAGATTATGATATGTACAGAACATTTTGGTATAGTACCAAATGGTGTTTTTTAACCAAAAGTTAAAGTCTCCAAAGTGGAACTGGGAATAAGAGTTCTAAACACACTACCAGTCACCTGCATCACAAAGAAACATGAGGTTTGATACTGATGCACTGCTCTAGTCTCCTGATCATAGTTCTGAAGAAATATTACCTGATCAGTTCACCAACCAAGTGTAAAAAAGTGTAGAAGTGTACAACCAGTGTGAAAAGGACTGAATAGATTAAAAAAACTTTAAAACAGCACTCGCAGTGCAACGTCGTGTACCCAGTGTTTTTAACAGCTGCACTTGCTGATAATGGGAATGTACTGAAGAAAAGGTTTAGTACTACAACATGAACAACAACATGGTGTGTTTCCAATTTAGAAGGATATCACATTTCCATAGGAATCAACAGTGAAATGTATCTTTTCAGAAGTGTTTTAAGCTCGTCCACCTTGAAATTAGACTGATTGTCCAGGAGTCCTATGATAAGTTGCTACTCATTATTTCCAGTTATGACAGCATATGATACCTTTACACACACAAGTCTTAGTATGGAATAAAGGGTATCCGATTAAAAAAAACACACAGCCAGTCTCATACAGATTTAAACAATATAATGCAGAAAAAGTAAACAAAAAACTAAAAGAATTACATATCTACATTAAAAGGATGAAAATAAATTAATCTTTGTCATTCTTCTTATCTACACATTCTTGATTTTCTGGAGACAAGTCCTATTTCAGGATGACACTGTGCTAAAAAGCAATAATAGATTCCAGCATCTTGGACAGGGGAAATACAATAAATTGAAGACACAGGCTTGCACACACAACAACAGAAACAAAACAACTCAAGTATGAAAGAGCACTTTTCTATGAATCTTCTGAACAGACACAGAAGGACAGTTTCCACATGTTCTTGTCTTTTAACAATGATTTTGTGCCTCAGATATGAAGGCGGTATTTGAAAACTGAGCTAAAAAATCTTGTAAAAAAATCATGTTGCGTAAAACAACAGTTATAGTAAGTGATGTTTGACAGAACAATAATCTATTCGACAGCTGATTGTACCACTCAGCTTTGCAGTGAACAACTCAGAATGGCTGTGCAGACAGTGATGCACCACTATATGATTAAGCATATTTTTATTGCATATGACTAATTACCTTACACTGTATTTTGGTTATTGTTGCAAATAATGACATGTAGTTGTACAACTGATTTATCTAAGTTTTGGGTGTATGGTGTGAAGCTCTTGGCACATTACAATAAAGTAGGCTACACTGCAGAAAAGTTTCAAGAAGTGAATGACAACCCTTTAGAGAATCTTACCTTGAAAATGTATTCAAAATGTTTGGGCAACAGAGTACACATAGCATGTAATATGCGGACAAGGATCAAATTAAGAGAATGTACCCCCATGTGTGCCTTTGTTGCTTTCTAATGCACACACTTCACCAGACATGTCTTCCTTATCTGTCATCTCACACTTTGATACAGAGTGCCATATGATCAAACTCTGAAAACTCACTGATGTCTGAAACCCGAGAGCGGGTATCACACTAGGCCACAGGAAGGATTCGCAAAAGCACACAATTAGATTAGTAAATCTCTGCTGATGTCAGAAGCATGATCATGAATTCTCACTGCAAAGCATTAGTAAATATTGTGCCTAAACACAGTGATGCAATTAATTTCTTTGGGAAGTCTGTGAGTGTCCTTAAAAGAATAACAGGGGTTTGGCTAAGTGATGTCTCGCCACAGTATCTTGCAGTTACAAACCAGACTGTACTTCCCCAAATTTCAGTTACAATCAATACAAACAACAGATAAAATGGGAACTTCTGTAAGTTTAAATATCAAATTAAGCTACAGTGGTTCCTGATAGCATGAAAAAATGAACTAATCCTTATGTCATCTCACTGAATACAACAAAGCCTAAAATAATATAATATTTAAAATAACTACAGTACAGACAATTATAGGGTTTCCTACTGAGTTCTTTAATTAATGTAATAGTTAGGAGAGTGAAGATATGCAAAGCTATTAATCACTTTGTACTATGAATATGTAATACAGTGTGTCTTAAATAATATAGTTCAAGTAGGTCAAGTAGTCACACGTCACACCTGAAGAAGGCTCCACTGCCGAAACGTTTTGTTTCCTTTCTTTTCAGCAATGGAATAAACCTGTTACCTGTCCCTTCAACAATAAAGGATGAGCTGACCTAACGTGCAGATTTATGAATTTCAAGGGAATAAAACAAAGCCAGTGTCTTAACTAAACCATATTATACCAAGTACAAGTACATACCTCTTTTACAAATAAAAGCAGTTTTAAATTGAACAACTTGTACTGTTTGTACGGGAGTGGTATTCTGACACTCCTGTTTATCCCATAACAGTGCATTTCCGTAAGAGTCACTTTCTAACAAGGCAACGCTTTAATAGGGACGTGGACACAATTTGTATAGAAGATAAAAACTAAGACAATTTACTTGCAGTATTCGGACATTTACTACATGTGATAAACAGTATATTGCGTTATCGGTGCAAGTTTTTTGTGATTATTGTTTTGCACAAGACAAGAATGGAGGGAGGAGAGCCAAGTAAGCACCCTAGATTTAAAGCACATATAAACGATACTTGAAAGGAAACTGTATTAACATTTTAACAAACATGAATAAAAGATCTGTAATAACGCGTTAAATAATCTTCAGGAGACCTCCTTAATTACACTGAGCGGCTTACGTTTTCATAATTACTACACCCAAACATAGCTTATTGTACAGTAATCGAGAACTAATAATCTTCACATTGATTAAACAGATTTACATACATCACAACAAAGTAACACTACTTAGTAAATTAACCCAGCGGTTAATCACATTTTAACGATAAGCCTTAAACTTACCTTACTTCTCCCAGATGAAGATACTCGCTGCTGTGAGCTGGCAGCTGGAAAGGACTGAGATGGTACGTTCAGCATTTTTTATTTTAATTAATATTGACGATAGAACTTCTGAGACAAAACTCGAAATCCTAAAATTGTAAATGACCAGCAAGTATCTGATGTTTAAAAGAGCATCTCTAATTTAGAAAGTCCGTAACAGATCACAGAATAAATAAGGAAGTAAATCAGAATAACTAACACATTCCAAAGAGATGTTCATTTTTATTCGAGTTGCATAATTAGTTGAAACAGTTCAACATTTATTAACATATATCAGTTCGGAAAGTTAAGCTACCACACTCAAATAGTTTTCGTCGTCCACCATATTGTATGTATGGTGTGTTTATAGGACCCGTCTTAAATGTTGTATTATACGGTGAGACTTAAATAGAAGCACACTTGCACTTCCTTGTTTTTGAAATGCAAGCACATTTCTAGTTTCCCTCTATGGTTCTGAGAGCTGTCGCATAATTCGTGACGTCACTTACTGCTCCATCACCGAAGAGGGTGGCTTTTCATGACTAAGGAAAGCAAAACTTTTGCGGCGACCCCTGGTGTACACTCAAAGATCTGCTGAAATTAACACATGCTAAATTTGACGTACTGTATTCTACATCTCTTCTCTTTAGGGAATTGTATTGGATTCCTTATACTCTATGCGTTTTATTTAAAAATCCCCAAGCGAAGATACCATCCATAGTGACATTTCAGTTCTAGGAACTGCAGTTGGTAACAGTTAACAAGTACACTGTATGTGCGCTGGTCTGGAGTTGCTACAAACAAACAATACAAATGTTGAAATAATTCACGTAAGTAACAATGGGTACTTCATAAACTGTGTTTTTTATATAATACACATATATTATAACAACCATAAATCAGAACTGGAAAGTTGTGGGTTCAAATCAAATAGCAAGGTTTTTCACTCAGATTAATCCAGTTAAAAAAGCCCAACTGTATAAATGTAAGTTGTAATTGTAATTCACTTTGGACAGAAGCATCACCCAAATAAATTAGTAATAATGAATAATTATTCACATTCTTCACATAAATTGACAATTCAAAAATGTTATTGTCATTACATTCTGTTGACAGCATTCCAAATGACATGGATGTGGAATTATTCAAAAATGTTGTGAAATAATAAATAAAACACTACAAATTTGGTATTTTAGGGATTATTTTTGATAATAATATGATTTTAACATATTTAATGAAAGCTGTATTGAAGACAGTATACATCAATAAATTAACTTACATAGATTCAGTCTAATTTTACATGCCTAATGGAGGCCCTGAGTTAGTGTAATGTAAAAGATCCCACAGAATGAAACATAGTAAAGCACTTTGCAAAAGTATTCCAAGCAAAGTAGTTATGATACGTTAAAGTAGCACTTAATTTTAAACCTTAGATTAGATACCTTTTAGACCTTCATTAGCCACGCAATTAGCTGAGTAGCTTCTATCTGTGTGCTGCAATAATGGCTCCCATGATTTTAGAAGAAAAACACTGTCTCTTGAGGTTCCTTGGTCAGTTAGTGAACTTCAAGCAAAGACTCAGCCATGAAGACTAAACAGGTTTCAAAGCAAGTTAGGGAAAAGGCATTGAAAAGCACAGATCTGGAGAAGGGTAAAAATATCAGCATCTCAGAATATCCCTGTAAGCACAGTGTTCTCAATCATCAAGAAATGGAAGAAACATTGTACCACCCAGACACTACTGTCCCTCCAACCAGAGCAGCTGGGCAAGGAGGAGGGTTGAGGGTTGAGGGTTGAGGGATTCCACCGTGAGGCCAACAACAACATTGAAAGAGCTACAAATACGGAGCTTAAACGTGCTGTGCATAAGTAATCCCCAAGCAAGATCCCCCAGAGGAATGGGCAAAAATGTCTCCTAGGTGGTGTTCAAAGTAGTACTTACCCAAGAAACCTTGTGGATCTAATTGCTGCCAAGGGTGTTCCCACCACATATTGAGTTAATGGATCTCAATACTTATGGAATAAACATAAGTCATAGTTTTGTCTTTTGTTTTTGCATTTATGTTCTGTAACTTATCTTACATTTAGAAGTCTTCATTTTCAGACTTCAGGTTTGGACTGATATTCAGTTTAAAAATGTACAGTATATGCATACTTTTGTACTTTCACAAAATGGGACACTATAGGAGAGTCTGAATGCTTTTGCCGGGCACTGTGTATGAAAGAGTTTCAATGCTTAACAGAGAGAATCGTATAGAATGTTAACTGTTTGATCTTTTCTTTAGAAGTGCTTCACAATTTTATTACCTAACAGGTGTAAGCCATGTGTGAATAATGTACTTGCGAAGAGATCAAACATTATAGCTGCCTATGTGACAGTAGACATAAATTGTGCTTATTATTTTGGGTTCTATGTTGCCTAAAACACTCTACTCTATTTCTTTGACATGGACGTGATCTACCTATTCATTATATTTTACAGTGCTTCATGGTACAATACCTTTGAAGTGATTTGATTGATTTGATAGTGATGTATTATACTGACATGTAGGACTGAAAACTTAATGTAACATCATACTCCAGTTGATTAATAACACTTAGAACTGCTGAGTTACTGGTGTTCTATATTGCCCTATTTTTTATTTCAGTGAGAAAGGACAAATACCATTTAATGCTAAACATTTTAATCAGCATGCTGCTCCAAATTATTTTGGAGAATGATTGACATAGTTGGATGTGTACAGCTCTAGTTGACGACCTCTGACTCTACAAAGACAATAACAAAATCGTCTTCCATCAAAAAAGATAGAAGAAATCTAGATTACTGGACCACTGCAGAGAAAATCATTATGAAATCTCCCAGGGAGTATTGATGATATGTTGATTATCTTTTTGTGAGAAATCCACAGAAAAAGAAGAGTACAGATCTTACAAAATAATTCATAATTCAGCATTTCATTAGTAGGTATTTAGACACAAAAAGAAAACAGACGGTCTACACATACCTATCATGTTTATAATAAAATGGGGTATAAACCCAGTACCTGGACATCTAACCTGCTAGGAAATTATCAAAAATAAAATATGATAGTATCAAGACATTACACCCAAGAAACATGTAAGAGTAAACAGGTCATTAATACTGGCGATCAATATATTAATGTACAACTGATAAAATGCTTTACTGTCAGATTCATATTAGTTTTAGTGGGTGCAGGAAAAGAATTAAACTTGTCATGTGTTCTATCTGCTATACAGGATATTAAAGTTTTTTTGTCAGTCTAACATAGGAAATAAGGCCACACTAACTATCAAGCGAAAGTGTGCCAAACACTTTTACCAGTGATAATGAAATAGCAAAGTGATTAGCAATCAGAATTGCATTTTTTCTAAATCCAAAGCACTGATATTTGAATATTAATTCTCCCCAAACCTAACATCTGTCATGGTGTTTTAGTCTTATAAAAACTGACTGCACAGCACACTATATGTCTCTCAAATTAATTTACAGACTAGTTACATGGAAGCCTTCTGCTTCTAAGCCTTCAAGAAGGGATGCAAGCAAGACAAAATTCCAGACAGCCTCTCAACTCCATTAAACATTACAAGCTGGTTGTGTTCTTTCACAGAAGCAACAGAAAAAAATTGTGAACTTAAATTCAAGAGACCTCAAACATGACACCTTAGCTCGAGCTGAAATAACAGTACTTATCATAAGCAAGATATCTTGGTATGTTTTAAAACATTATTTAAAGTAAATCAAATTTAACAGAGTGTTGGAGGTTTCAATACTGTTTGTTCTATGTTTCATTTTAAAACCCGTTAAGACTTTTAACATTATTTTGTGTCAGCATTACCCAGTGCACATTTGTGCTGTTAAATGTCCCAGTGGGTTTTTTTGGTCCTGTGCTCTTCACACGTGCTATAACTAACACCTTCACAACAAATGGTTGAGTAAAAAGCCTGGAGACCAAGATTCTTCTTCAGAGCCTCACACTTCACCACACCTTCACTTGAGAAATATTTGTCACCCAGTGGTATCTTGTAGGCTTTTTAATCCCTTCCCCTTGATTAAACAAAAAGGCCATATAGGAAAAGAGCTATTACATTTTTTTCTGAGCTGAATAGGTCCATTCTGAATGTACTGTACACACTCAAAATCCTACATTTTATGTTCAATTTGTTTTTAGGGATTTAGGGAAAAAAAGGAATATTACACGGTACCCTATATGATAATAAACAAATGTGAACAATCATCATGGCATGACCGACTAGTACCTAAACAAACTGTGTAAATCTACCAATAATATAAAAACAAGAATAAAGGAGTAGAAAAAAGGAAACCAGCTATGTGGAAGAGATATGCAAAGGAAAAAATACATTTTAGAGCATGGTTGTCATGCATTTAATCAAAAGCTTTAAGGGCACTGTTCAAAAGGCAAAGATAAATGCCTTGAATTAGCCTGCATTCATTAAGTGGACATTGGTTGATTAGGTGAATGTTAATTCCAGCATCACAAGCTAGAAACTTGTGATGGTGATGATTGAAAAACTGCCTGTGATGAAACTGAACTGACAGGTAAACTGTAGCGTTTGAGTTCTATAACGAATTGAAGAGGAAAGTGCAGGTAACTGACCTACTCGTAAAATAAATTTCCTGTAACTCCTCCATCCATCCATTTTCTAACAAACAGAAAGTTAGAAAGGAGCCCACAAGGAAAGTCAGAGCCCAGCCTGTCAAGCTACAGGCGTAAGGCAGGTTACACCCTGGACAGGACTCCCGTCTGCCTCAGGGCACATCCAGAAACAAAAACACTCACACTCACACTGAGGCATGTTTTCCCAGAAGCCAAGGAATTAAGCCCAGAGCCCCAGCACTGCAAGGCAGCAAAACTGACCCTTGAACCACTGTCCCACTGGCTTACAAACTTGAAATATGTATATACAGTTTGTACCCATTGCTCTTGTTTAGTGCACAGTTTTTTTATTATTTTAAAGTAAAAGCTACAAAATACCCACCGGGATAAACACACTGATGGAAGGCAGAGCCAACTTGTTATAGCTGCGACATACACACGGCCAATATGATACGTAGTACTGAGCCAAACAGCTCCCCAAAGAATAATGTGTTGGGCTTCTGCAGGTAGTGAGAACAGTTTGAGGGTAAGCATTCCACAAGGTTTTACACATCTGTAGCCCACTCCGTCCCATTCTTCTAGCTGAACTGTCTGGAGATGAACTTAATGATGTGTGGCATTGAGCTGCGCACTCCAGTAGTTCCTCCAGTGCTCAACACAATGGAAATCTGTTGTATTTCTGATTGGGTGGGTAAGGGACTAGAGTCTCATTCTGTCCACCACTGACAGTCTATTCATTTGAGAGGAAGAGCCTAATGTTTGTGAGTGTATTATGGTGTTGAAATGCATTGTATTGTAGTGTTATTTACTACTGTTCTTATTTACTACTGTACTGTTCTTCACTAGGCGTTTTGAATATATCAGTTTACAATTTAAAAAAGAAAGGTCTGTTGTATTTCAGAATTAACATTATGCCTTTTTTTCCAGAATTGTTCTATACATTTCCTATCTTTTACATTTACAATGCAATATTCTTAATATTTTTTCTTTTCATTTTCAAACAACTGTTACCAAAATGATTATCTGAAGCATGCACCAATGCATTGGACCTGATACCTTGTACTGTTTTCTGATTCTAGTCTTCCTTCACTTAGTGAGAAAAGCTTTTCAAAGACACTGCTTACTTGTATGATAGATTCTCAAAATGAAAGATTAACTAAACACAGACAAGTACTTAGACATGTAGGACCACAGGACCACAGGCTACATCCCCCTGTAGCTTGATCTCATCAGGTCTCTGACGCTGTCCAAGCTGAGGCCCGAGGGGTCTGTGATGGATGAAGGTGGTCTTGAAGTCCTTTTCTAAAAGTCTTGAAGTTCTTTGGGATGGAAATCACTATATAAATGCAAGGAATTACTGTTACTACTTCTACTGTTACTGCTACTGCTGCTACAATGGGTAGCATGTGTCAGCATTCTCTCTGCCCCCTCAAACCCAGACAAGGCCCGAGATCTGAAATTGTGTTTCATTTCTACTCTTCACATTTACTTATTCCTTGTCATCACTAGTAGTTCAACTACTAGCGATAATGATAATAGTGTAGGTGCAATGAAAAGTCAGTTTTCAGCTGCTGTGATGAAGCTTTGTAGGTTACCTGTTACTGTGATTTTTAGACCAAGGGTGGCAATCTCTGATTCAGATTGTCCACAAGGGCAATAATATAATAAGTTAAATGAAGCAAGTACTATATATATTTAATTGCTTGGAAGTTCAGTTCTTTTTGCAGACTTTAAGCGAGGTGATTTCAAATCCTGTGTACAGTACTTCATAAAATCGTGATGTCTGCTGACTTTGTCACATGGAAAAAAACCTTGCACTGGAACAGTGTATTCTGATTTAAGATACCTTAGTATAATACACATACTGCATATATTGAATTATTAATAAAGTTTCCAGCTTATGTCATTCAGCTGCCTACACTCTTAAAATTAAAGATCACTATACTATGACATTTTTACAAGTCATGTGGTTATTTAGTTATTTGATATTAATTTAATATGAAATTCTCCACTTTTCAGCATGACATTTTTAAATCTTTACAAATTCTTCTCTAATTTAAAAATCTTCTTTTTTTAAAAGTATTACTTATAATACTGGAAGCAATTCCTTTTTTTCCAAACGGCAGTCTTAATCGGTGTCATGTGACATTCACGGACTGAACGCTTGATCTACTCTTGTTTTACATTGGTGAAAACGTCTGGGAAAACTAATGTAGGGTAAAAGGGCATGAACTTTGCATTCCCCTCCAGAGTTTTTCAGATTTTTGTTAAGTGGTCAGGCGTGCCTGAGTAATCGAGCAGTCGGCCTTAGAAAGTGTCACCTTCACACCTGCACACCTTGTGAGACCAGACGTGTCAAACGTCGGTGACAAAGATATCGAACACATACAGTTCAAGATTCAGAATCGAATTCATTATTTTGTAGTTTCAATGTGTCTGTTGGGCATTTCAGTGTTCTGAATTTTCAATAGCATTATTTCTAAAATAGCTGCACACATTTTGGCATGTTGAAAACTGAATTAAGTTTTAATTTGAAACAAAACTCGTATGAATATATATCTGAAAAGTAAGACAAGAATTAGGTAGGTTCGTCGTTAAGCAATATTTATTAAAGAAAAGTATACACATTAAAATGGAAAATAATGAAAAATGAGTACTAAAAACATTAGTACTAAAACTTTAGTACTAACAGTCCTATCTTTAAAACACATTTTTGTATACAAATAATACCGTCCGATAACGTAATGTCTAAAACCTCTGGAAGACCTTTATACACATGCTGTTCTATAATCTTGTTTCTTCCTCGATGCTTTTGTAAGAACCTCTCACCCTACATACAATCTCAAATACAAGCAGTTCTGTTCCCCTGCGCCCCAGAAAAAAGAAGGCGCTATATCTCAGCACAAACGCTGCTTTCAACTGTGCCAACTGGCCCAGACATTTCTCAAAAGTAAGCGGTGGGAATCATTGTTTGTGCTGTTTGTAGGGTGGAAACCTCTTCACCTAGCTGCTTCACTCCAGCTTCATGGTGAAAAGTGCCCTAAGGTGCAGAAGTGTGAGGTTTCATTTACGAAGCAGCCCGGGTGTCTCTCCCGGCTGAGAAACTGCAGGGTGACAGCCTGTGAACTCGTAGGCTATATAGTTCAGATAAAGGTTAAATCCATTCAAAGTAATACAGGAATAGATACACTGTGCTGAACTGGGCATTCTTAAACTATTTGGCTTTGAAAGAGCATCAAAGCATCATCGTATGGATTAGGACAGAGAGCAGGATACAAAAACGTTTAAGGACCTGAGCCGATATCAACAAGAGTTTTAACAGAGAGTCGCTTTTTTAAAAGGAATAATAAACTCAAATAAAACACAAATTTAATTTAGCTACTTCCAAGTATGTTAACATTTACAACCTGAAGAAATAAATGTTAATAATGGAGATAAGCGTTTCTGAACGTTTCTAAGGATGACGAGGAAGAGCAAATCTAGCACACACATTGTTTTGAAAATTGTTAATGAGAACTTTTTCAAATTCTAAAAAAAACACATTTCTATAAATATCGTCAGTTATGAATTCTTAAACAATGAATATATATATATAGAGAGTATATTGTCCTACGTAGTAGCTCAATATTTTGTGCTTCAAATCAAATAGTTCAGCAAACCTGTCAGCAAACTCAAACGTTCACAACAAATAATCAAATAATTGTAAAGAAAATCGTGATAAGAAAGCGGGCCCCTGGCCAGACTCCTCAAAACATTTACTGTATAATCCTCATCATTCTAAGAGGAATCACGGTGTGAACTTGTTGATCAAGTTGTTCTGTCGTTTTCTTATATACGATACACTCTTATTAATGTGCGATTATTGCATTACATTCTGCAGTCGTGATATAAATGAAGCTGAAAACGTGTTTTTATTTTTACGTTGCATGACTCTTTCTCGATCCAGTAGTTCCCACAGATAAGTGTTGTTTCTCAAATATGTTGAGGTGTTAAGTGAGAGGAGTGAGTGCCTCTCGTGCGCTGCTGTCTAGGCGTCAAGAGGCGTGTTGAGGTGCGAGCTGACACGCGCCTTCTCGCTTCACACCAGGCAAGCCGGTCAGGGATCAGATGACTGTCAAGTAGCGGGACAGAACGTTACGAAAAAGAACAGTGTTTTTTTAAGTATCAGATCAAATAAGGTAAAATAAAAAACCCCACAGTATCACTTTCATGATACTCTTGTGTCCCCTTTCCGTTCGTGCATTGTTTAAATTAATAAAAAACGCCACAATATTTAACCTTCTGGTAAAAACATTAAAACGCATAAAGCACAGACCCCACAAGTTCAGCTGTTGTGGGTGATAGTTCTTGACAGATTAGAAAAACAATCGACCTGTTACTTAATACGACGTAATACAATGCACAACAGCTAACAGCTGTTTGCGTGATCTTTGCGTTTCTTAAATGTTTCAAATGTATACATATGACACCGTTTGAAGAAGCAAACATGACAGAACAGTGACTACTGATAAGGTCCTTAAAAACAAACAAATGCCTGTGCAAAGTGTGACTTTTAACACCAAGGCATTCTGTGACAGGACGCGTGCGACATAGCTGTGACGTTAAGGTTGTGAGATCGCATATAAGCGTCTCCACTTTTCATTGGAGACAAAAACCGAGGTTGATTCGGGGGAACTGTCACCATCTGAAAGAAGGATACAATGCAAGACAGCGGCTATACTAGAACCAAAGGAATCGCAGGTGAACGCTGCATCATGACAAAACAGGAACATAGTCCACAGAGGTAGGCTAATTATAAGGATTTGTGTTTTCAGACGTCTGTGTTTTTAAAGGGTGTTATATGTTTTTAACCGACTGTTTTCTGCTTTCCAGAATAACGAATCTGTGGAGGCCCTGGTGTCTCCAAAGTGAATCAAGGAGGAAGGAAAGGAGAACGAATAATTTTGTAAGTTTATTTTGCTTTCTAAACACAATGGCTATGGAAAATCCAATTCAGCTATCCAAATCCTGACTTGTTAATATAATCTAAAACTGAAATACAGTATAGCATCAATAGGTTGATGCTGAAGAGGAAAGGGTTTCCTTCACTAGTTCTGAAGAAAGTCTGTGTCTGCAAATCTTATTTCACTTGAGTTTTAAGATACTGAAATCAAATCTTAATTTGGTACACAGATATTTTACATACATTATTTTCTCATGTAGACACTTGTATATCATTTAGTATTTTTTTCAGGCAGCTTGAAAAATCTTCAGTTAAGCAGACGATGAGTTAAATCAAGTAACATGAATTAGCATTTATCCACAATTACTCTAGTTTGGATGTCTCGTACAGAAATATGGTACAATAATATGTATTATATAATAAACTGTTCTTATTAACAATTTAACAGTAGACAGGCTTATTCCTGGTTTCTGTATTAGACAGTATGTTTATTTTGTGTCTGGATGCAGCTGATGTTTTATATATATTATTTTATTGTGTTTCAGCCTTACCCCAGTCCAATGGTAAATGTACCAGGCATGAAGCACACTGAAACTGTTCATCCTGCAAAGTAAGTTTGCATGCTTACAGTTTACACAGGATATTAGCCTACGTGTAAAGAATCAAGCAATTTTCTTTTGAAATTGGTCTAGAAAGTGTTCATGCTATGTTTTCTAATGTTTATTATTTGTTTTTATTGAGAATCTTTTCTTAATTTTACCACATTAAATAAAAGAGTATCACACTATTATTATTTTTATTAATATTATTATGTGATGTCTTAAATTAAGTAATTTGCAGATAATTTGGGACAAAATAAGAATATTTCAACCCTCAAAGAACCAGCATTTTCTTCATTGAAAAAACACACTTTCTTAATTGATCAATTGCTTAAACAAGTCTCTTAATCTTTATATAACGTGATAAAGAGTGACCTATAAGAATACCTCTGGTCTATAAGAAAGTGGCTAGCATTTCAGTAGTTCTTGTTTCATAGTTAGAAAATGTATTTCTCATTTTCTTTACCCATTAAATCCCCCCTCCCCTTCCCAGTAGAGAATTATGTTAATGTTTAATATTTCTTCTGTTTTAGGCTCTTCTGGCCCAGATCAAAGTGCTATGACTATTTATATCATGAAGCAGAAATCCTGTTGAGAAACTATCCAGTTCAAGCGACGATTTCATTCTACGAGGATTCCAGTACTGACACTGATAGTGATTCAGATGAGGAAGACGAGCTGAATTAAATATACAAGCATAATGAAAAAAGACTGTCCTAAGTATTTTCCCGACTGCTTATAATGTGTGCACGGAACTGTGTTCTCATGTAACTGTTAGTGTTGTTGATTCATAGTTCAATAATTCCAGTTAGGAAGATATTGGTTCAAAGGTGCGGCCTTATAGATAATAAAACTGAGCAACAGATAACATAAAACAAAATGTAATGGTTATTACTTAAACTGTATTTTTAGAAAGCCATTGCTTACCAATTTCTTTCACTTTATGGAGCTGTTCCTTATATCAGGTGGTTTCCAATGTAAATATTGTATAGTTGTTATTTATTTAAGAACACTTATTTATAACTGTTACTTTTACTTATGACTGTAAATATATCTATTGTACATTTTATTTTTTTAAATAAATCCTATTTATTCATCTTGGTGGGAATATAGTTTCATTGATGAATTCCTCTCAGGAATATTTTTAGTGTGGTTCAGCTTCGAAAAGTGATGTTACTGAATACCAATCAATTCTGTGTCCTTGGAGCGGCTGGTACAGTATAAGCAGCGGCGACTTCAATAGTTCAAACGACTTACAAACTGGGCAGAGAACTGGCAGAAGAAATCCATTACAGAGCAGTTTTAAGTACACGTGGGTAGTGAAAATGTGTCTTATAAATATTATTTGGGTGACACTACACTTTAAAAACTAGCCTTGAAAGGAATTTATATGTTCATGTTTCATTGTTGTCCTCCGTTGAAGGCAATTTAGGGAAGTGAAGGAAAATGGCAACAAGGTGTTTAACAAAGTTTAAATGTAGTGGAACAATGCTACAATTTTCAATGCACTTGTCAGATCTCGTTAAGTTTCATTGAAGTTTTTTCTGAATAAAAAAAACAATACTAGTTTAACTGTCATTATAATGATCTATTTCACGCATTCTAATTACTAAATGGATGCAATACTGTTGTTGGATAAGTATGGATATAAAACCTGCACAACTTAAAATCCTATTACCTGCATTTCTCCGTTACATTCAAAGACCTGACATGGGATCAGGTATGAGGAAGTAGAATTTCAGCGAGTAGTTGCAGGATACCAATTAATTTCCAAAGCATCCCCCTGCTGTGAGCCCTCTGCCTTTGCTGCATACATCCTCTCCTCTCACTGAAAGATTGGCTCCTCCCTCCCTGCCTGACCTCCCCCTCCCACCTCCTTTCCTCTCTCAACCGTGTCTGACTCAGCCTTTGCTCTCTTCTCCTGGATCTTACACTTCCAGCCCCTGTCATGACTCCCCTCCCCACTCATGTGTGCCAGGCGCTTGTTCCTGCTGTGCGTCTGCCCCATGTCTCCTTACTCAATCAGTTCTGTTCGCGGCCCTCCTCACCTCATCTCTTTTTCACAGGTTCCCTTTGTAACGGAGCTCAGCTCCCCCTTTTCTCTCTGGAGTCCCTGGATCACTGTATTTCCTGTTGTTGCTTGTGGTGCCATGTCTATGCCAGTGCTTGTATCATTCTATCATTTTCCTTCAGGTAAATCTAGTAAATCTTACATCACGCAGGACCTCTTAGCCCTTTTCTTCCTGGATATAATTGTGTAAAATCCAAACCTGGCAAATGTTACAGTCTCTTCAGCCATCTTCTCTACCCCCTGCGTTTTCTGAAACAGTCAAGTGTTTTAAAAGACACTCGTTCTTTTTCATCTCTCCCTGCATCACTTTCCCATCCCTACTGTCATTGGGATTCTGATCCATTGTGTGTGCCCACTGTCTGCCAACATTGAAAAGTGTGTAGTTCAGGTGGGTAGCTGCGTCAGCATGCGTAGGCTGCAAAGGAACAAGTAATAGGTTTATTCCTTGCTGAAAAAAACACCTGACACCTGAAGATGGCTCCACGGCCGAAACGTTGTGTTCTCTTTCTTCTTTTTTTCAGCATGGAATAAACCTATTACTTGTTCCTTTGCAACATTGAAAAGTGCTTTGTTCTTTTTAAGTACTTTGCAACACTTGCTTTTAAAGGTGCTACACAATAAAATAAAGTTTATTATTTAATTTAATCTGGTTAAATTAAATATCCTAGTCATCCTGCCCACTTATCCCCAGTTAATTGACTGACCACACATCTCTGGCCTCCCGTTTCTGAAGTTTTAGAGATTTATAAGTGAAACAGTGGCCTATTTGTCTAGGTTATGAGATAGGCCACTGTTTTAGTTAGACAGATCTGAAAAAATGGTAACATGATGTGACACAATGAAAGATGTGCAGAAGAAAACATATGTTTTGTTAAGACTATTATTTTACAATATATAGTGTAATGCCATCCTGAGTGTGGCCCTTTAAGGAAATTCCATTGAAAGGGGGACATGTTGCCTTGACAACCACAGCTGAGAGAAGTTGAAGAGGTAATGGCAGGAGTATAAGAACAGGCAGGCTGCTTCCTAAATGGGACACCAAGTAAGACCTCAGTCTTGTGTAAGCTACAGAGAAAGAAAGATGTGTAAGATCACACCTACCATATGTGGAAGCTCAGCAGGGAGAGAGCCAGGCCGAAGCAGGACAGCAGAGCCTGAGTGTGTGAGATCCAGCCTGGTGGCGGCTGAAGGTGTCGATCGTGGCTTGAGATGGACCTTCACTGTCTAAGGCCTGACTGGGGAGGAGAGGACCAGTAGACGTCATGGAGTGGAGTAAGCAGGAAGCTCCATGTGTGTCATCAGGAAGCAGGAGGCTCCAAGCAAAATAGTGTCATCAGAGGGTGAAGCTTGTCAAGCCAGGACTCCAATAGGGCTCGACAATGTGAGGGACCCAGAGACATCTTTCCTGAAGGGACTGGCTGGAGGGTGAGAGTGGAAGGGGAAACTCGTTGAGCCTGGAAATCCGCAAGCAAAGGGCTTAGTGAAGCAAGGGACCTCTGTGAGCAATTGGAGGAGATTGGGAAGGACAGTGGCGTGAGTGAGATGGAGACTCTTGGCCTGGGTGGCAGCACGCTGGGGGCCCGGAGATCTCTAAGTATGCCACCTGTTCTGGTTGCGCCGACGAGGAGGCCAGTTTTTGCACCACTTCTGGAGGTGAGAGGGTATTAAGAGAGTTCATGCAGAAACAGCACATGAAATAAAAGAAAAAGTAATGGGAAAAGGTTCCCCAACAGGCTAATGGGGTCTGGAGTGGTGGACATGTCTGTCCACACCCACAGTGGCAGCCATTACTACAATAGACACAATAGATCTACTAGCAATGGATAAAAGTATCAGTCATTAAAAATACTTTTAATCTTGTATCATTTTCTTTCCTTTTTTCATATCCTTTTTTGAAGCCTCTTTATAAATGTTCAAATATAGTAATTGATTAAATAATGATCACCCTTATTTAGCATTACATGTACAGTATGTCCCATGTTAAAACAATACAGTTAGCTTTCCACCTTGTATTTCACTTTGAATTGCCCGTTGTTAAAGCACTGTGTTATAGAAGGCAAAATAAATGTTCTTTTTAACTTTGAGGCTTTAAAAATGTTTCCCCTGGCACTGACACAAAGAACTTTAAAGTGTCTCATTTCATTTTAACACAGTATAGACTCATCAAAATCTTCAGCAAGGTGCATAGTTTATAGAGTAGTCCATTCAATGCTAAACAGAAAAAGGCTTTTAAGCCTGATAATATGCTCCACAAATATATTTATTAGACCCAAATCTGGGCAAGATTGCTAAAGGATCAAAACATTGATCTTATCCAAATTTATGTTTAAATAATATTTTTACAGAACATATTAGCAGACTTGCAACATTTTTTTTCTTTTGCTTTGGATTTATTTATCATTTATTTAAAGTTTTTTTTTTTATCTGCCATGAACTGGATCTCTATTGCGTTTTCAGAAAATTATGAGTGAATAATTTAAGGTGCCAGGAGACTCATAGACCTTTTGTGTTATGTCTAATGTAAGCAATGATCTTAGGTAATGTTAGGCAATAGTCCTAGTGTATTGGCCAGGCAGTGTAAAAAGAAATCATGTCTTAAACAGCCCTATTAATATGTCAAGGGATTGATTTATTTTGTAAAATGCCTTCTGTAAAATAAGCCCCTCTCCTTCAAACAGCACCTCTCAGCAGTCCAGTCCTAAAAAGTTGACCTAGACAGAAGGACGTGAAGCAGATTTGACTGTCTGATTAGCATAGCAGATTCACCAAAGTGAACCATATGGATTAACTATGTTCAGATTCTATAGTGTTTCAGTGCAATAGAGACCTAGGAGAAAAATAAAAAATAAAAATTGGAGTGTTTTACTGAGATACAAAACAGGAAATGGAAACGTGCCTGATACAAGGGGAAATTATTTAATGGTCAAGTTTGGCATTGGTTGTGAGTAAATTCTCAGAAAGTTTTCGAAAGGCTCTAATTAGGACAAAACCTGGCTAAATGGAAACCAAACAATATGGGTCCAGAAAGAGAAAGACTTAGAAAGCCTTACAAAGTAACTTCTTGGAATTCTGGAGGATCATCACAAACAGGAGAGAGCAGAATACACGTTCAGAAATGTATTTTCATTAAACAGCTCTGTATGGACATTTAATATGTTGAGGTCATTTAATTTGGTTGTGCTGTGGACCCAAATGTTACCCAGAAAACTCCTACGGTCTTAGAAAAAATTGCAGAATCCAAGAAAATTGTTGAAGCCTTTATAATAATTGAGATATTACCCAGAATCCACAGTATGTCAGGATTTGTGTTTCCATCCGCCCATTATTAGAAACTGCTCATTCCTAGTTAGGGTCATGTCAACCTCGATCCCAGGCGGCATGGTAGGACTGCAACCTGGCTGAGACATTAGTCTGTCCCTGGGATTGCATAGATACACACATAAGCACAACTGTGAGACATCAGGCCTTAGAAGGTGGGAGCAAGCTGGAGCTGTCACAATCGTCTTTCCCTCCTCTAGAGGGCGCTCCCACCTTTCTAAATTTCATTTAGTTTAAGTTCTGGCACCTGTGTCTTGTTCCGCCATTCCGCTATTTAACCCCGCCGGCTCCATAGCTCTCGGCTCTGCATTGGAAGATGGACGCAGTGGGTCCAGGAGTGACCCGACGGCATAGGCTTCAGAACGGGTCCGGGGCTCGGCGTGCCTGGCCTCATTACCCTTCTTTTAACTTCCATGTTCCTGGTTCCATGTCCTAGTTCCCTGTTCTTATTCATGTCTCGTCTTGGATGGATCT